ATCTATCTATCTATCTATCTATCTATCTATCTATCTATCTATCTATCTATCTATCTGGAAACAGTGCAGATCACCCACCACCCGACAAACACATCTCCCAATTTGAGCTACTCACCACTTGTAGTGACCATGAGAGAACAGGTCCTTTGATTTCCTGTTAAGAGTTTAACTCTAGCTCTTCTACCTTGCGTGTATATATGTGTCTGTGTGTATGTATTACAGAATTCAAATCACTGAACCGTTTGCGATTTTGTTTTTTTCTGTAAAATTTATTTTATGTAAAATGCATCATTTTCCTTGTTTAAAATGAGGCATATTTAAGATGCTGTGATTCAAATCTATGTTTTGACTTCATTTAAAACCCATTTAGGCCTTTATTTTTGGAGGGCTTTTTTTTTCTAGCAGGCTTGCAGAACTCAATGACTGGTTTTGATACTTAGAAACATTTTCTGAAATATGCATGACAATAATCCTGTTCTAGAATGAATGAATGAATGCTTGCTGTTGAAGGTAGGCTATTCAGCTGAGAAAGAAAGGAAATACTATGATCTATGCAGTTCCCAAGTCTAACAGCCAACTTTGCTCAGCATACAGAATTTGCTGAATTAAGAAATGTAGTCAAGAAAACGGACATCAGCTGATTTTTAAACAGAACCAACATGGAATTGGGATTGAGGAAGAAATACAATGTTCTTTAGACTCAATCCTTTCCCCACAAATTATCCCATCACTTTCACTTCCACTGAATAGGGGACATTTTATGCCACTGTAACATTACTGAATTTGGTCATTCCCTACCTTCATTTCAGAACTAAAGCTATAGAGTATTACAACATGTCCTACCCAGTCATGAGGAATACTGCAGGCATCCATTGGGAAGTTATAGTGAGATGAAATAAAAGAAAATAATGTGTGTCCAGGTAATATTCATCTCAGCTCCCCAATAATGGCATCACAGAATTTGAAGTTACAACGGCACTGAAAAAAGTGACCTACAACCAGTCCTTGCACTTACGACTGTTGCAGAGTCCTCACAGTCATGTGATCAAAATTTGGGTGCTTGGCAACTGGCATGTATTTATGATGGTTGCAGCATCCTGGGGTCATATGATCACCATTTACGACCTTCCCAGGGGGCTTCCAAAAAGCAAAGTCAATGGGGAAAGCTGGATTCACTTAACAACCGCATGATTCACTTATGTATTGTGGTGATTCACTTAACGACCACGGCAAAAAAGTTGTAAAATTGGGCGCAACTCACTTAACTACTGCATTGCTTAGCAATGAAAGTTCTGGTCCAATTGTGGTCATAAGTTGAGGACTGCCTCAATTAATAAGCTCCCATCTGCCTGTTAACAAACGAAACATACATTATTTCCTGGATGGCAGGAATGGATGCTTCAGGCATATTGTCCACAATGGAAATGTGAACAAAGATAAGGGGAAATCAATGGCCAAACATACAGTTAGTCAACCACATTAGTCTATCTCAGTCAAAAGTACTTTTCCTTCTCTCTTCCCCCACCTCCAATTCTGGATGCTTCCACAGGGGGAATTAATCAGGGTGTATGAGTGAACACTGTCTTGGGCAGATTAGCTGGAAGGATCTATCCAGCAAAGGAGCTTAACTGCAGAGACTGCTCACAGAACTTGGATTGCCTAAGCCTTACCATACCTTATGTTCTATTTGTGCCTATGGGTCTTCATTGTCTGATTATATTTTTGTATGAAAATATGAATATTAGCTTTGTTCTCAGTTTGAATTTATTTTGCAAGCCAATCCAATTGATTCAAAGAGCTCATTATTTAACAAACAAGAAATCTGAAAAGGGTCCCAGTTCTCTCTTGGTAATAATTCATTAGATGGTAGGATAACAGTTAACTTGATTGAAGAAAAACTCAAGGATGCACAAGAAATACAAATCATGTACAGAATAATCAATGACTCATGTCAACATCAGACTCTACAAATGGATACACAACATGGAGGTTACATGCAGAGATAACTAGCCTAGGTTTGGAGACAGAAACCTAAATAGTCAGGGTGGCAAGAGAATAAGGAATGTATTAGGAGATTAAGGAGTGTCACAGAAGAAGATGGTTAGGTTTTTGTCTAGGAATACACAGGGACAACAAAACATCACAGCAAGGGAGGAAGGGAATAGAGAAAAAAATAGGACCATATAATAGAAAATACGCTACTGATTCTCTGGAATGCAATGGATCAAATTCAACCATGGATAAAAAGAGTTCTCTTACTGAATACAGCAGATTGCATACTCATTCACAAACTTGTATTCATAGTAGTTATGAATTTTAATCCATTATCTTACAGATATACAGATAACTGAATCTACCAAAAAGAGATTGTATAGCTGCCAGATTGGTTTTATATTTATTTTTTACAAACATTCATTCCTTTAGACTGCAAACCGATAGCTATTTCCTTAGAATAACGAATCTTTGACTCTAATTGTTTTAGGAGTGCAACTGTACTAACTGAAATGATAGAAATTTCCCTTGTCTAATCTATCTTTTTCCTCAATATTTCAGTACTAAGAGCACAACTATTAAAATACAGTAAAACTTCAGTTCTCTGGACTTCATTCAGCAGACTAAGGATGCAAGAGACAAAATTTTACTTCAGACTTAATCTCCACAATGAACACATTCCACTGTTTCCAAAGCAGTCCATGCAATTGATGTAATCTATGTCATTTGTGTGATTACCTAATTGACATTTTTATGTCATTTGCATCAATTTACATTAGTTATGTAATGATGCAAAGGGCATAAATGTCACTTTGTAAATTCAGATTTAATGGACATTCCCCCCAGTGTTCCATGAAATTGAGGTTTTACTGTATTTTAAAAAACATAACATCAGGGTCTATTTTCAATGCTGGGTTTTCCAATATTAAAATAAAGTTAAGATGCTAAGAAGTAAACAACCTCCAAATGTTCTGGACTACAA